GATTTTTATTCATCAAAAAAAGATTGAATTTTGAACAGAAACAATGCATAAAATCATGTGAATGTTGAGAGCAATTACATTTCTTGGTCATTATAATGTATACATATTGATGGATAGGGTTAGGGCATAGTTATTTCACTCTAAATGAAAATAAACATTACAAAAAAGAGAAGTTAAATTTGCAACGGAGTCATCACGCATTAATACATCATGGAAAGTGTAATCAAATATTCATTAATTTGTTTGTAGTCAAATATTGATGGAAGGTTTGACAAAACCTTCAAACACGGTTAGATTGCACCTGGGTCCAATGGCTTTAAACCCACTTGTAAGGTGCAGTTCGCCAGCCCGTTCGAATCCCCTGTTCCCAAAACTATAAACCCTGTTAAAAAAAAAAAACACGTGTTAAATCGGTTTAAACTCTGTAGTGTCCTTGTTCTTAATTATGTGTACTATCAAAGAAAAAAATGTTTAATTATACTATAAAAATATTCAACTGTATGAAAGCTTAAAAAAAAAAAAGAAAAAAAGAAAAAGGTTTATTGACTTTTACTGTGCTAATATGGAAATTTACACAGGAGCGGAAAGCCGAACCTGAAGGAGTTTTACAGAAAGACTATAAATAGCGATGTCCAGCCCTAATCCCTCACTCCCTTTTTTGTTGAATTGTGTTCATCTTTAAGAAAATGGGAAGGTTAATATGGTTTTCCCAAATCCTCTGCCTTTCCTTCATGTTGTTACAGTTTCGAGTCCAAAGCTCCTCACCTTCTCAATCTTCTCTTGATTCACTGCTGCATTTGTGCCGTCCTGAGGAGCGTTCTGCATTGCTTGATTTCAAAAGCACTACTAACGTGGTGTTAAACGACGTCAGTCATGGATTAGAAACTTGGAACAAGAGCATAGACTGCTGCTTGTGGGAGGGCATCACATGTGACATGACAAAAGGTCATGTGATTGGTCTTGATCTTAGCCGGCAAAGGATTGAAGCTGATCTAACTACAAATAGTAGTCTTTTTCGCCTTGAGAAATTGCAGAGCCTCAACCTTGCTGACAACTATTTTAGCTACCCCAATCTCTCTTTTGGGTTCCAACGTTGGAAGAGTTTGACATATCTTAATCTTGCATGTACGAGATTTGATCATTTCTTTCTTTTGATTGAAATCTTTATGCTTCTATAACTGGTTTCACTTGCTCTAATTTGACAAATTTTTAATGTTGCAGATTTAGGATTTCCGGATAACTCTCTTCTGTTTAATGAGGTCTTCTTGCTACCGAAATTGGTTTCACTTGATCTCTCTATAAGTCCTGGTTCTGGTTTTTTTCATCTTGACAACATAAGGTTTCAAATGCTTGTTCATAACTTAACAGAATTAAGGTTTCTTATCCTTAATTCTGTGAATATGTCTCTAGTTGTGCCTTCTTCCTTGCTAAACTTGACTTCCTCCTTGGAATATTTGGGCCTTAGAGATTGTCTTTTGCAAGGAAACTTTCCAAGCCAAGTTTTTCAGCTTCCATCTCTCCAGCTTATTGATTTAAGTTCCAACAATGATTTGAGAGGTAACTTGCCCCAGTCAAACTGGAGTAGTCCCTTCAAATATTTGTATCTCTCAGACACAAGCTTCTTAGGAGAGTTGCCTCATTCAATCGGAAATCTTAAATTCCTAGAGGAATTGGATCTTAATAACTGCCAATTTTCTGGATCAATTCCTAAATCTCTTGCAAATCTTACCAAGATAACTTACTTAGATTTTGATTCCAATCTTTTGCAAGGGTCAATTCCAGATGTTTTTGGAAAATTGCACAATCTAACTTATCTGAGCTTTTTTAGTAACTGTTTTAGTGGTGAAATTCCTACATCAATCTTCAACCTCACGAGTCTTTCATTTTTGTCACTGTCATCAAATAAGCTAAGTGGTTCAATTCCTAGCTTCTTCTTTGATCTTGTGAATCTTACTAGTGTCGGCCTTTCTTCAAATAACTTAACTGGCACCATTACAGCCACCATGCTTTCGAAGCTTGTATACCTTGAGTATCTTGATCTTTCCAATAATAGTTTACTGTCTTTGAGCAATAATGGCACTAGTATCAACTATTCCTTTCCGAACCTTCAGTATTTTTTATTCTCTTCTTGCAACATACACAAGTTCCCAAGTTTCTTAAGGAAGGCAGAGAGATTGCAAGAATTGGATATTTCCAAGAACAAGATTTCTGGTCAAATTCACAAATGGGAAATAGAAGGGATGTCAGTGAAATATTTAAACCTTGCTTATAACTTCTTGACTGATATAGATTCATTCGGTTTTGGAAATCTTGTAGCTGTTGACCTGAGATCCAACTTACTACAAGCATCACTTCCCATTCTATCAACCACTTGGGATTCTATGAACCAACTCTACATTTCAGGAAATAATTTGATTGGTGAAATCCCTTCTTCTTATTGCAATTTTACTTCTCTTGGAGTTCTAGTCTTAGCTAATAATAGTTTGAGAGGAAAAATTCCAGAATGTCTTCGAAACTTGAGGAGCCTCTCCATCTTGGATCTGCGGATGAATAAGTTCCATGGTAAGATTCCAAATTTATTTGTCACCAACAGTAATTTGGATACCCTTCATCTAGATGGCAACCAGCTGGAAGGGATACTACCCCGATCCTTGGTTAATTGCAGTAACTTGGAAATTCTAGATGTGGGGAACAACAACTTGAATGATACATTTCCACATTGGTTAGGTGTTCTTACAGAGCTAAAAGTTCTCATCCTTCGAGCTAATCAATTTCATGGTGCTATCAGCAATTCTATGCCTGCATTTTACTTCTCTCAATTGAGAATCATTGATGTCGCGCAGAATGATTTTACGGGTCTCTTACCAAGTAAATATTTTAAAAATTTGAAAGGTATGAGAGATGTAGAAGTCAAATGGGAATCATATGATGAGAAGGCATGTGCAGGATGTTATCGTACCCTACTTTTTCATTCTCAATTTTATTATAGGGATTCTGTGACGGTAGTAATAAAGGGCTTTGAGAGGGAGCTTATAAGGATCTTGACCATTTTCACAAGTGTAGATTTCTCGAGCAATCAATTTCATGGACCGATTCCTGAAGAGCTAGGAGAACTCAATTCACTTTTAATCCTAAACTTATCTCATAATAGTCTCAATGGTCAAATCCCGTCATCATTAGGGAAATTAGCAGAACTCGAGTCATTAGATCTCTCATCGAACAAGCTTGAAGGCATGATTCCTGAGCAATTAACAAATCTGACATTCCTATCAATTTTGAATCTTTCACACAATGAACTTGTGGGCCACATACCTGAAGGGAAGCAATTCAATACTTTCTCAAATGATTCCTACATTGGGAACTTTGGATTGTGTGGATTCCCATTGACAAAGAAATGCCACGAGGAAGAACCAGGAGCACCTGCATCACAATTTGATGAAGAAGATGACTCTACAATAGTCTTTGAGAGGAAGTTTGCATTGGCAGGCTATGGGTGTGGACTGGTGTTGGGACTTAGTTTGGGATACATTGCCTTCATTACAGGAAAACCATGGTGGCTGGTGAAGAAAGTGGAGAAATATCAACAGAAATTACTTGGAAGGTGCAACCGAAGTAATAAGAAGAGAAAACCTAAAACCCCAACCAACGCTCGTAGGTGAGTAAGTTTCTACAACTCTCTTTATAATATTTGTGTTCTATCTAAGTTCTAACCATAAAAATCAAGGCATATTATATAATAGTGAAACTTAATTTTTCTACTTTTGATTTATTTTACATAGGTGCAAGTAGGTGCAGCTGATTTCCTACTCCGGGGAGACATGGCAACCATTGCTTCTTGAGTTTGTTTCCATCTTTGTCATGTTCATTGTTGATGTATAGTTGTGTTTACTTGTGTTGGAATTATGGTTATGTATGAATTTGTGTTAATTCCTTTTGGATTTCATCTATCTACTTTGCACAAAGTTGCTCATGTATTTTTTTCTTAGTGTAATTTGTTTCTTTTGATGTTATCTCTTTTTATTTTCTTTTGTCCTCCTTTGTTTTGGTTGTCTTTGAACAGTGCGTTTTACTGAAAAAAATGTAAAAATTCTTTAATTTTTGGGCCCTAAACATTTCCTTTCACCATATTTCTCCGATCGATGTGGAAGCAAAGACGCATCTGATGAATCTTGGATGATAGCTAAGTGATTTCAGGGAGGACTATTACTTAAGAAGGCTGATTGAGGAACGATCCCAACCTTCTTTGCTCTCTAGAGGCCCACCCTCTAGCCATCGCCAAACTTAAGTCTTATTCACTGGCCGGCGATCTGGTTCATAGCCAGGTAATTTTCCTTGGTATTTTCCTTCTATCTGGAGATATTAATTTCTGTCTTAGAGGGGAAAGCTATAATATTCTCTGTGTGGAATAGATTAATGTGTTTTGCCTCTACTACTTAAACTTAAAAATTTTAGATATTTCTATGATGCATATGCCAAGGTTGAGATAAGATGTTTCTGTCTCATAAAAACAACATATGTAGGTTAGCATTAACATATGTAAGTTCCAGGTCTCATTTCTAAACTTTCATTTAAATTCAGAGGTGTATACACTGTATTCATGGCTAGTCAGTGTAGGTCATCAATGGATATTTTTGTTGAGATAAATTAGAGTTATATTTGTTGTTCTTTCTACGAACTCATCAATGGATATTTTTCTTACAAATAAAATATCCTGCAAGCATCCTAAAATTGAGAGTCTATGGAGCTAGGAGAGAGATGACCCAAGATTACATCCTTAAGAAAGGTTTCTGTTGTCATGGCTGAAGTAACTGCTTGTTTTGATGGCTCTGACGTTCAGGTACTTATTTTGCAATGAAAGGCTAATAGTTATTGTTGAAACTTGAAAAATGTCTTTACTTGTTATTGTCATTGATATTAGGTTCTCTTGTGAATTATTTCTTGTGTCTGATGAGAAGCTAAAATAAAGAAAGTTGTGTCTGGTGGATATCTTTCTTTTTGTATCGCATTCCTTAAGGGAAGGCAATTCATTTATCAAAAATGTAAAATGTTCCAGTGAGAAAACTGTGTAACAACCTGTAAGGACAGGTCCGAGGTGTCAAACCTCGGACTGCTACAGTAATTTCTTTATGACCGAAGTGAGGAATGAATCTGAAGCTTCTCGCTCAAATAGCTGCATGATAATGATAATAAGCATGTCCACACCTGATTCCTTATGATGAGCGGCACAGCAGAAACGGTGGACACCCGTGCATCTGAATACCCCTCAAATTCCCGGTCCCGGAATAATCGTTTGGATAGACACGTCAGGCTCCGACTATCTTGCTTGGCATGCCACGTGGGTTCCTCATTGAATTCTATAAATACCCCCTCCGGGCCACGTCAAAAGATAATTGAAACCAACCTTAAGCTTTTCTTATCTCCGCCCTAAAGGTAGCCCCGATTATTGCTGACTTAAGCATCGGAGTGTCTACCCCGAGTTCCACCTCGGGGCT